GAGCTCCGAAGTTCTTCCACAAAAATTCAAGTTAATGTCCACACACCTCACACACACTCTCTGCTAACCTATCAACCCCCTACCCTAACCCTTAACCTTACCCTTACCCCTCTCTTTGGCCGTAGGCTACAAAAAAAAGAGGATATTTACCGCCTTATCCTTCCATTTTTAGTAAATTTTCAAGCAAATATTTGGCCAAGACAACCAGCTCGCTCTAGAAAAAGTTTGGAAAACACCCAGCACTCCCACACACACAGCCATTTCAATGGGACACACACACCGTGTGTCAGCAGAAATCAAACAACGTGACTTGCCGAAGAAGCTCCTTGACAGAGTCCTTGTTGATTTTTGGAGCGCTTAAATTGATTACGAAATATTTCAGTCGACGTCAGTCGACTCCTCTCATAATTATACCCTAGCCGAAGGCAGTCTCGCATTTACATAAATGCAGGAATACTTTTTACCTTTCGAGCCGAGGAACGGCTCATAGCAGTCTCTGCCTCCATCTCTGGAAGGTATCGAAGAGAGCCAGGACCCTAATGGGAGATACCTTTCACTTAACCCACAACAGAGGCAGAGCATTCGGAAACCTTCAGGATGTCAGACATCTCCTTCGCTCGCTTTGCTTATTGAAAATCGGAAATTTAATCCGTTTACTTGGAAATTTGGGAACTGGATGTGTATTGTGCGGATTCTTTGGTGGTTTGCGGCCCAATCATTTTAATGGAAGATTCGTGTTAGGCCTTGTCGGAAATCCATTTCATAGATACTTCCACACAGATGCACACACACACATGTATGGCGAACACGAACACATCCTTTGGCCGGGCTGGCCATAAATTTCCGCATGCGATACGAATATTCGCCCGATTTCTGTTTGGTTTTTTATGGTTTTCTTTGCGCCGCGAATTAAAAATTAATTAAAAATTTTACTGCAAATACAAACACTCATTTTGGTATTTGTATTTATTCACTTGTGGCATTTAATTAAATTGATTGATTCACGCTTTGTTGCATCTTCAATTTGCTTAAGCTGCACTTTTGGTTGGACAGCCGCCCCGAAAAGGTGATGGATGGTTCCTGCCAAAAAGGAAACTCGGACCTGCTACGGAAATCCAATCGCTCTCATTGTCAATCTGACAAATTGCGCATACGAAAAATGTGGGTTAATCAAAATCCATTTCCCCAAAACGAGACCGGCCATGCCATTAAACTTATGGCCGATACAGGGGACACAAAGGAAGCGGGCCCCATAAAATATGCTTGTGCGCCCAGTTACAGATATTCAGATATTCCAATACATGCCAATGCGATTCTACATACATACATATGTATGTATGTATGTATGTATGTATGAGTGTGTATGCATACGAAAGCAGCAAAACTTTTACGCGGGAAACTTTAAATGAGAACAGCAAACGGCAAACGAACAGACGGCAGTGCCAGTGGCAGCCAAGTGCTGGGTGCTCGGTGCTCGGTGCTCAATCCTGGGTGCTGGATGCGACAACATCCAAAGTTCGTGGAGGCGGAAAATCCATTTATCATACGGTTGCCGTCAGGATCTATATCTATATCTCCCTCTCCCTCTCTGTCTGTGTGTGTGTGTGTGTGGGGCTGACAAGTCGAGGGACGACAACGAGAGCTGTAAAAGTAACCAAAGACATTTGATGTGCGGTATTTACATGTCAAAACCAAACAAAAAAATAAACTAGCATCAGGTGAGAACAAATGATGATTCCAGTTGGCATTGCCATTGAATCGAATGCACTGAATGGCGGTACATGCGATATCTGTGCTTGAATATGCACCACCGTACACATACATATGTACTAGCTATGTGTGTGTGTGTGGGGGTGCTTTCTCCTCATTTTTTGCATTGAATGTTGCTGATAATAGCGCGGACGACGATGATGATGATGATGATGATGACTTTGCTCTCTGGGATCATCTATGCTGTTTATGTGCTCATGTCTGCGTGAAACTCAGCCAAGATACGACGACAATAGAAGTGGGTGGCACACACATGCATGAATATTTATGTCAGGGCCCGTTTTGGCTTCTGCCAGGGCGCAGGCCCTCAATCGAATGATTTGCGGCAAGTTGGGCCATAAGTTAACAAACTTAAGTGAAAAACTCGAGTGGATGTTGGGACAGAAAATGTGGAAGTCCTTACGCAACCACGAGGCCAAGAAGAATGGGCTTAGCTAATTGGCATTGGGCACTGTCGCTGCACTTGTTGGTTGTTAAATCAGTGTCACTGCATTACTGATTGTCAGCCCAAAATCCTCAACATTTCGTTTTCACCGCTCCCACATTCAACATTTGCAGCCACGCCCATAAATCACCGCAAAGTGCAGCTGTCAGGCAGGACGTGTCACACACACTCTTAACATATTCAACTCCTGTCGACTGTCGACTGTCGACCGTCGCCTGTCGCTGGCCGGGCCTGTACTCTGCTCTGGTTCTGGTTATGGCTCTGGTTATGGCTCTGCCGCCACAAGCCACACAAACATCCATCGGAAACATGCAACAAATTGCACAATAAAATAGCGAAAATCATTGCAAATATACGCGCGCGCAGAGAGCCAGCAGGACAGGCCTGTCACTGCGGCTAACCAAATAAACACAAACCGAACCGAAGCCCCAACCCAACCCATATCCATCCGCATCCGCATCCGCATCCCTATACTCGTACCCATATCCCCATCCCTTTGGTGTTTCCAGTCACCAAATATTGAAATCGAAAGCCAAACGAATCGGTTTCGCAGTTACGGTCGCCCCTTCGCCTCTGTTTGCTGTTGTTCTGGCTTTCATTTCGATTTTGACAATTTCCTTTTGGCAAAGAGTCCACCAACCAATACCATGATGGCTGCTGATAGAGAATATTTCAGAGAGAAGTGCCGCTTATAAACCACATTTGTAGGGATTTCCTATTTTGAAATGTGGCTCATTATCAGCATCGGCGAATATGCAAAAACTAGACAGACAGACAGACAGCCCGGGACGGTCAGGGTCTGTAGACTAATCTTCCAATTGAAACATGTATTCGGGCAAAGCCAGAGTCAAGTTCGTTCTGATTAGAGCACAATACTCACGCCGCAAAAAAGAGAGGAAGCTCTAGCTTAGGTGCTTGGAACCGATGTCGATATCGAGATGCTCTCCACCTGCTCTCATGAACCTGAATAAAGAGTATATATACCCGAATACATTGGCAGCACGACGAATATAGCAATCTATAAAACCAGAATGAAGTTGTTTAAGATCGGATTGTAATTAATTCATAAAGATTACTCGTCTTGAGGCACAATCAAGTGCTGGGCTATGGTTGTGCTTATGTACCCCAACGAATCATAGAAAAATCAAAGCAGACTCTTGATTAGTAGCTTAGTAGCCATTCAACCAGCAGCCAGGCAGATAGACCCGCCGTCGAAAAAACGTACACAACACTGAAAACAAATTTCAATGAACATCGAACGACACATTAATTTAGTGCTCTGTCTGCTGACAGCACTCCGTGTATCCAAAGGCCACAACATAGGGGGCATCATCAGCAGCAGCAACGGCCTCCACGGCAACGACAGCCTGGAGACGCTGCCCGAGGTGCATGGCAGCAAGTTCTTCTACTTTGGATTCGGCAGCAACATGCTGGCCCAGAGGATACACATACAGAACCCCACTGCCGAGAGGATAGGAGCAGCCCTCCTGGCCGACTATCGCCTGGACTTTGCGCGTGAGGGACCGCGCTGGAGGGGAGCTGTGGGGACAATCGTGCCAACGCCGGGGGATCACACGTGGGGCGCTCTCTGGGAGATCGATGTCAGCAATCTGGATGACATAGACAAGTGAGCAGATCAGAGAGGAAGCGAGAGAGCGGGTGTTTGCTGACGTCTTAACCTTTTCCCATTGCAGCCAGGAGGGCGTTCATCTGGGCATCTATGAGGCACTCACTGTCTACGTAAAGCTCCAGAATGAGGAGACTGCCACCGCGGCCCGTGCCTATATGCTGACCAAGGCCCACCAGCCGGAGAGCAATCTGTACCACATGAATCCCGATGAAGTGCCCCAAGACCGGCAGCCGTCAAAGACCTATCTCCAGTGCCTGATCAAGGGCGCCATAGAGAGCTCGATACCCGAAGAGTATGTCGTCCGATTGCGCTCAATCAAACACAACGGCAGGGTGGCCAGCAATCTGGAGGAGAGGCTGGGATTGCAAGATGTTTTCCTTCCATAATTCTAAAATATAGCTGCGATACCTACAGCGTACCTGTAGCTACTATATAAAGAGTACCACTCTATAAGGAACCAAACAAGTTCCCGAAGGGCCTAAATCGAGTAGATGGATCCAAAGTTTTCTCAATCTTGCAGCAGAACTCTTTATTTCTTTTTTAACGCGGCAGAGATCAAAACCCAATTGCATCAGTGGCGCTGTGACAGAACTACGGCCATGCCTGTTGTCTGAGCTATGAAAGCACAAAAGCTCCTCTGTTCCCATTAGCCAATACAAGCTCCAGGCCGTGCATAAAAGCTCTCCTGTTCTCAGATAGTATTAGCCAAGACAAGGACCAGGCTAGGAACAGCTGCTCTCTTATCGTTCTTGCTCGCCCACATTTTTTCTTATCTCATTTTCAGTCAATTCATTCCCAGCAGTGCCTGCGTGTAAACAAAAACCATTTGTTGAGTTTTATTTCATAAAACGCGCGCGTTACGTGTTGTCAACTATTTGCCAAAATATACTAAATTTAACGTTTAAATAAATACATACATAAAGAAAAAGTCCATTTTTGTTTAATAACACACGTGAGTTTTGCAATTTAAGTGAAAAATAAACACAACAATTTACAAAGAAAGCTTTTCAAACAGCTGGCTGTGCTTTTTTGCAATGAATATTGATAAATTAAAATATTGAAAGGCAAAGTTCCCCCAAATTAGTGAAGTTCATAACCAATTCATAAGATGCGTGCTTGACTTGACTTAGCCAAGTTCGCAACCACTCAATTCACTGCTTAAAAGACACTGCACTGCTTCGCATTTTGTAAACTGCTTTCGGTGATAAAATATTGTACAATTTCAAATTAAATTCGATAAAACTCATTTCTTTTACAGAACCAACCCTTTTGACCATGGCCTGCAAATTCTATTATTTCGGTTTCGGCAGCAACATGCTCGCTCGCCGCATTCACATACAGAACCCCACTGCCAAGAGAATCGGAGCTGGAAAACTAGAGGTAATCTGGGAATAAATCTGGAAGGAAATATTTGATAGTATTCCCAATATTGCCAACAGAACTACCGCTTGGACTTTCACACAGGATCCAAGAACTGGCTGGGCGCACCTGCCACGATTGTGCCCACAGCAGGAGCCCATGTCTATGGCGCCATATGGGAGATCGATATGTGCAATCTGAAGGATCTGGATGAGTAGGCAGCCCCGCACAAAGCACTCTTCTCCATTAAGTTACATTTTTCGCTCCATTCCATTCCGTAGCCAGGAGAGTGTGCCCGATGGCGTGTATATTCCGATCAGTGTGCCCGTCCTCTCACTGACCAGCAATACGGACATCATCTGCCGTGCCTACCATCTCACCAACCAGCCCCTCTCGGAGGTGCATGGACAGAGCGTCCCTCCTCCGAGCATTCCACTCGACCGACAACCCTCGCAGACGTACCTCAAGGTCCTGGTCAAGGGTGCCCTGGAGACGGGCATACCCGAGGAGTACGTCAAGTGGCTGCGGGGCCTCAAGCACAATGGCAATCAGGTGGCCACGATGGAGGAGAAACTGCAACTGGACCAAGTGAAACTTTCATGATAACAAATACTATATGTACTACTGATTGATTCCCGGAAATCAGCCTTCCTGATTCCTAGCATCAGGGCTATCATCCCCTACGATACGCAGGATTCATTATCGATCTGTTATATTCTAATTTGTGTCTATTTTTGTAGATACTCCGCTGTGAACTCTTTTCTTAAACAACTTTCAATAACCTCTCGAGCAGAAGAACTTGTCCCAAAAACGGAATTTAATTAATTTGAATCACTTATTTATGATGATTACCAATTTCCTGTCTGCAGAAGCAGCAGCAGCCAATGCCAATGGCCATTCAGACAATGGCCGCCAAGAAAACAAAAGTTTTCAGCTTTTCCCGAGCAGCTCTGCGACTAGCCCGAAAGTGCAATTAAAGTGCAATTTAGTGTGCACTCCAGAGCTGCTGACGACGCCGATGATGATGCTCCAAATGCATTCCGGGCTGAAAGCTAACGAAGCTCATCCTAGCCGAGCCGGGCGATCCTGGCTCCCGCCTCCTGGCTCCTGGCTGCTGTCTTATTAATTTAAATTTGAAGTTTTCGGCAGGGCAGGGCAGGGCAGGGCAGGGGGTGGAGTGGAATGGAGTGAAGACTCTTCAGAGTGTGCCTTTTGGAGCTGCACATTTGCATATTGCTCTGTGTGTGTGTGTGTGTGTGTGCCAAAGTACGAGTAATAATAAACATAATTTCCTGTTTCGGCAGGAGTTTTCCTACCTCTACTATCGCTTGGGCTTGGCCCCCAGTTAGCAGCTAATTCCAGGACCGGCACCAATGGCTGCTGACCCAAGATGGAAGGGTCCCAGGTCCCGGTCCTTCCTCTGGCAAATACAATTCCGCCCTGCCATTCAGACATTCAGCCATTCAGCCATTCTCGACTTTAACAAAGTAAAAAGTTCTCACCAAGTTGCTGGCTTGTTGCCTTGTTGCCTTGCTGGCTTGTTGCCTTGTTGCGGTTTGTTCACTTTGTGTAGTTGTAAATTAAATTTGGAAGCGGACTGGAGGGCTGTCCGACCTCGACACTCTACAGTTTATAATCGTTTGGGAATTGAAATGCAGTCGAGTCGGAGAGTCAGAGCCAGGGACGATTTTTGGCCACAGTCGGCAAATGTCTGCAAAAGTGCAAACTTTTCTTTACTTTTCGTTGCTTTTTTTTCTGTTCGTCTTGGTCAAAGTTTTTGGCTCAACATTTTTATTGCATTTGCGGCGCCCCCGTTGAGAGGCGCTGCCGTGTCCAATGGCATCGAGTCCTCAGGCTGGCCATTAATTATTTAAAATGCACGGCGCCATAACCATTTAGAAGAGTCTCGCTGTAACATGTGCCGCCCATCCACACAGATGGATGCTGCAGCAGCAGCATCAGGCCACAAAGTAAGCGACAACAACACACCATTGAGGCATTGGGGCTCTTGTAATCATAAAAGTTTATGAGGTTAAAAAAACGAGGAGAATGCCACCGGCTGCCACACCGAGAGCTGAATACTCTAAGAGCTGCATTTCATTTCAAATGATAATCCACAGCCACATGGCCACAATACCCTACCGCCAGGACTCCAAAGCGAAATCCGGTGACGACAAGTGACGGAGGGAGTGCCATTGATGGCGCAGGACGAGAAAGACTCTCCCAGAAGACTGGATGGGATGGGATGGGATGGGATGGGCTCAGCTGCTCAGCTGCTAGTGTCGCATTTTGTGGGCATGGGAATTTAATTAAAATCAAGCACTCGCACTTGCACTCTCTCTCTCTCCCTCTCTCCCTCAGAACCCAAGCCCGCAATCCCCGCCCACACCTTCAGAGCCGGCTCAGCTCGTCGTTTAGTTTCAATCAAAGTAGCAACAAACAATAACAACAAATACACACAAAAAAGGCAAAAATTTTACGCAAATTGACAACAGAAGCGACGACAACAACAGCAGTCCGTCCTTCCGTCCCACCAAATGGGAATGGACGGAAGCGCCGCCATGTCAATAAAAATAAAAACTGTTTCAGATGCGTCCTCCACCGTCGTCGTCGTCCCCCCGCACCCGTTCGGTCCGCTTTCTGTCAGTTTTCTGTCGTAATTGAAACTCATTAGCGTGCATTTTAGTGGCAATTCTGGGAGCCGAGCCAGCGAAAGGCTTTCCCGCAACCCTTTTTCGGGCACTTCTCAACAGTTTTGGGCGGGCGCTGCTCTGCTGTCGCTTTGCCGTGGGGTTGGGATAAGGCAGGGGCTCTGTGGGAGGGTTTATATGTGGTGTGCGTGCGGTTTATGTGGTAAGTGTGTCATCATTATGACTGCCATGAGGTTTTTTACTTTGGCTGCGAGGCATTTGCCAGCCCCTGTTCGATGGGTGTTGGTGGTAGACGGTAGTTGTCTAGATACACAGTTTGGAGCTTCCATCAATCCCCAAAAAAAGGAGGTAAAACCAATAACATAACACGTATATTATGTTATTTCCCGTGTACACAAAGCGGCCACAAATCATTATTAATTGCCTTGTCAGTGGCACAAAGGATTAAAAATCGCACTCCAAACCGCAGCGGTACGACGGGTCGGGCGTTACTACTCGACACCGACATCAATAGCTAAAAGAGAATCCAATTGAATTTAATTTGAAGAACTCGCTGGCAAATGCCTGTAATTATGCGTCACACACGAGGCGTCAAAGGCAACACACGCGGGACTGTGGATGGGGCAGGGGCAAGAAAAGGCCTTTCCTTTTCAACGGACCCCAACGGAAATTCAATTAGCTTTCCCAAGAAACTGAAGTTGATGGCCCATTTGCATATAGTTTCTGACAGTTCAAAGTGTTTGGAAAGTTTTTGATGATGGAAAACTATTAATTACCCAAGGAGCAACACTTTCGATTAGCCAACGGGTCCGGGGCGTGGTCTCTGGGGAAATTGGCCAAAGATTGGCATTACCCCCGGTGCCATTTCGGCGGCATTCCCCTTGTCAATCACCTGCGGGTGGCTTTTTCCGTACAGCCACTCGACGGAGTGTCTAGAAAAGGCAAACAAAAAGATTGATACCCTGGAAAAGTTCGATGGGAGCCATGCTCATTGGTTGGGAGTTGGTCAGAGAAGCAAAGGCTTTTCGCATATCCACCGTTCACCATTCGAAGAACAGGGTATGCCTGAACTGACTAAACACCGGAGGAGGACAACTGCAGCGATGCAGAAGTAGCCAGCGCCGCGGGCCAGGGAACGGGATGCACAAATAAAACCGAAAAATGCAATCGGAATCTCTGCGGTGCACAGGCGGATACGCGGACACAGGGACGCTAATCAAATTAAGCGAAATATTTGGTTTTCATATTTCAGCGGCCACGAGCGAAGGAGAGTTCTGTGGGAGATGCAACTTCAAACCGGCCGCGGGCATTAATTACACTTAAATGTTGACCACATGCCAGGATTTGACAGGGACACTGACAGGAGTCTCCGAAAGGACTAGCGAGAGAGTGGGAGAGAGAGAGTTGGCTGCAAAGTCAATAAGTGCAGGCGGAACGAGCCTCGGGCCCCGCAGGACTCCATCATCCTTGCCCACTTGGCTGGCTGGCTGGCGCTGTTTTGTTCCAATTCCCTTGAGGCGACTGCTGGGCCTCGTTTGGGTTGCATTTTTTGACAAATTCCACCGACACGCAACAGCAGTGTCAACAGGGCGTGCCACTATGCAGTGGGTGTGGCAGGGATGCTGTGCTGCTGCGATTAAATCATTAAATTCATACGCTCCACGGGTTGCACTTTTGCATCACATTTTGTCGAGGCTTTGTTCCGAGGCGTTCCACGTTCCACTCGGGATTGACCGCTGGCTGGCCCCCTGGTTGCTGCCCAGATTGTCACTTCCTGATTATTTGGTTTCCGTTTTCATTAAAATGCACGAGCCCTCTCCACCCTTCCTATGCTGCTGCTGCATCAATGGTTGCATTGGTTTGGGCCCTTGGTACATCCTTGGATTTGTATTTGAATTTGGGCTTGGGCTTGGGCTTGGGTTTGGGTAAATGCTTTTGGGGCATTTTTTAATTAAACGACATGCTGCTGCTGCCGAGGCAAAGGCTAGATTTCGGTGTCACCGCCTCGCCTCGCATCGCATCGCCTCGCCTCGCTGTGGGTGTTGCAGCAGCACCATTGTTCCCCCTGGGTGTGTGTGGCACGTGCAATATGACAAATATTTTAGGTACACAAAAGTGCATTAGAGCCGGAGAATGGGAATGGGTTTGGGTATGGGAATGGCTATGGTGTCCAGACGATGACTAATTCCTTCTGAAGCTGCTCTAAAGCCGCTCCCAGTTAAACTTTGAACTTACTCAAGGACTCAACGACTCATCCATATGGAGGGGATCCTCCATGCCACTCGACTTTCAGAGACTTTCAACAAGAAACCAGCTGATTCCTTTCTGGTTCCATTTGCTCCTATTGATACCGCGTCTCCCTCTGGCAGCTCCAGCCCTGCATTAAGGCTAAGTTAAACAAGTGAATGCAAAATACATTTCACATTTTCACATTTTCATTTTGGCATTTTCGCTTAAAAGCTTTTCCCGCCCAATGGAAAGGGCGAGCGAACAGCAGAGGGCGGAGTACACGGCGAGAAAAACCGCATCTAATAACTCGAAAAATGCGAATGGGCCGTGAGAAAGGCCAACCCTTTTTCGCTCAGTGCAGAGACCAGCAGAGTGGCGGCGCAGTGGCGGCAGCGAGTGGAAGCTCTGTAACCGACGCTCCGCTTGTTTGGCCACGGCTGACTTCCGGCCTGATTTCCTGCCCACTTTCCGTGGCTCCCACCGCTCCTGCCCCCCGCTCCTGTCGCTGCTCCTGTTGCCTGTTCTACAACACACTAAATAACCTTGTTAGCGTTTTTAATTAAAGGTGTAAATATTGATATTTACCCATGCACTGCACCGTCCCGCCCCGCCCCGCCCTGCACTGCCACCGCTTCCGCCGGCACTGGCCGTGGCTCTGGTTCTGGCTCTCGTTCTGGCCGCGTCGCGGAAATGCATTTTCGCAAAAAGTCAAATAAACTACATGGAAATATGAGCCGGTTATTAAATACGGTTATATGCGCGTTTCGCCTCCGGCGGATAAATGTCGTTTTTCGGTGAATTACGGAGGGAATATCATTTCGAAACTGACGAGAGAGAGAGAGAGAGCGAGAGAGAGCCCTCTGGCTTTAAGTTTTCTTTAAATTTGTCAACCCAACTCTGGCAAGATTTCCAGCAATGGGGGATACATTTTTTCTTATTAGTTCTAAAGA